GACAACAGATATATATACTATGCAGACGAAATCAGATAACATACTGACGTCCACATCAAATCAGGGGGGGAAGCAAACCCGGCAACCACACCGGAATGAAGAAAAAAAATGGCCAAACAAAGCCAGCCATTCCCACAGTACCCGCTTGCACCAAAAGGCATGCTATCCCCCGATCCAAACTGTCTGCAGCAGACACTTACAAGTTACAACGCATCCAAGGGGCCACATCAAATAACATAAACTGCACACCTGATTCCTCTCATCGGCCACCCCACATAGCCGATGTCTCCAGCACACCAATTCAGCATGTTAGTTGGGCTTGTGAAAGAAATGAAGGACACCGCTACCAAAACCCAGCAACTGCAATCGCCCCAACCTATCGAGCATAACTCTTCCCCCCCCCCCGGGCGCTGCCTCCCCTGCCCTCCCCGAACCAACCAATGGGACTTTATACCCGTGGCATGTACCGTTGACATGCTCAGGACCAGTCAAATTTCAGATTTCTCTGGAGGAACACAGTTCAACACACAGTTCCCAACTTCCCAATGATCCATCCGATGTGGGACCAGGAAATGGGACCGGTCCACACAGAAGATGCAGTGCTGACCCGAATCCGGAACCACAGCACCACCTGCTGACGAACACAGAGCATGAAAATGCCTCTTTGAGGAAGAGTCCATCCCTCATTGGACCATGAAATGCTGCATGGTCAGGGGCCATCCAACGGGCGTAGGTCAGTCGGTACACCCATGAACTGCTGAAATATGAATCAGACCCAAGTTTGAATCCAGATACAATCTGAAATGCTGGATGCTATCTTGCCTGTGCAGTCTGAATGCGCTATAATGGGGAAAGCCAGATCTGATCCCGACCTCAAGCGTGTGTTCAAAGAAGCAAAAGCGATTTTAAAACAATGGTCGACCAGGTCTTCCTAGCTTCTCTGTTGATCGATGCTGGCCAAGTCGGCCATTCCGTTGGGCGGTTGCAGTGGAAGACGATTCGGCGGGTGGGCGGGCATCCGTTGCCCCAACTTCAAGGCCGTTTTCGATACGTTCTCCTACACTGCAACAGATCGACCGGCGAGAGGTGGGTGCGCAGCCCGTTTTCAGGCTCGGCATCGATAGCGGGGCCAAGTACTGTGGTGGTTTAACAATCTGTAGAGCTTCTTTCTCTCCCCCACTCAAACCACTTTTCAGCCTTTCATTCCACCTAGCTGTATAGCCAGGGAGACAGGACCAATTTACCCTCCAACGTAACTGCTGCCAACTGGTTTGCCCTGGCCCATGTGAACAGGAACCACCTTCTGCCCCTTACCGACTTGCCCCTGTCCGCCTTCCAAAACCAATCTGCTATAATCATTGTCCAAATCAGCGCTTTCACTTTCTTTTCGATGGCCTCGTCAGCAGACCATTCCTCCTGAAAACATTTGTTGTTCCGGTCCACCCAAATAGTCCACATCCGTGCAGACCGAATTGCCTGAGCCATGTATCCCCACCCACTTCGACTGTAAAATAGGGGGGGGCAGCTTACCAGTCAAAACCCAATCTTTCTTCCCCCCCCTCTCCCCGCCTTTTTCTGATTTGATATCATTCTAATCAGTAACACGAGCGCGCACGCGCACGAGAGAGAGAGACAGAGAGAGACAGAGAGAGACAGACACAGAGAGAGAGAGAGAGAGAGAGAGAGAGAGAGAGAGAGAGAGAGAGAGAGAGAGAGAGAGAGAGAGAGAG